GGAAAAGATTCTGTATGTGGTGGGATCTGCCTCAATCACTGGCTTTACAGATGAAGAAGTTGTATGTATAATTCCATGTATTAGTTGACAACAAAAACTGTTAATGACTTTTCTAACACATACTTTTTATATTCTAGGGGATTGATCTACCAGCCGCAGCAGCATTACAACCACATATATTGACTCAACAGGCTCTGGCACAATGTGTCGATGCTCCTGGTCCATCTGGGATCATCCCCCCAACAGTTGCCTCACCAATCAACCAACCCACAAGGAATGCAGCTGTAGACCAAGAGTCACAAATTAGAACACCTTGTGAGCCAAGGTCTAGAGCTCATACTGGGGTCAGGTCTTCTAGATCTCGCCCTAGACTCCCTAGACCTCGGCTCCCAGTTAATGACAATTTGGTTAGGAGCCTCCATGAAAATAATGCTCTATTGAGGGGCACAATAATTGAGGCTTCTAATAATTTAGCAGCTGCATTAATCTCCATGGGGGAGCAAAATCTCAGAGCAGCAGAAATACTTGCTGCTGCAATCCGGGATGCAATCCCTAAATAACTTATTTTCACCATCATGTTGGCACTTCGCATTTAATCTGGTCCGCAACAACATTAGTCCAAATATTTGTTGATCTCCTTCCCCCCATTGATTGGTGTCCGTCAGTCTGGCAGTACCACCCTCTTTGATAAATTTATTGGTTATGAATTTTACAACTCTTTTCTAATAATTGAAACACCATAATGCTTAATTTTATTTCACGATGCTTCATGGCTAACACAGTCTAATTTATAAGCCTTTGATAAGTCCCAAGAATGCCATGGCATTGTGCTTACTCTCCCAGTACATGGATTGTAAAATTTATGATTAGGTTATTGAAGTAGGTTGTACTGCAAGACTGACAGACACCCTTGATTAATACAAATGTAGGTGATGATTTTTAAATTACGCAATTGTAATATTTTCTTATGTTTTTATTATTTATAATTTCATAAAAATCAAACAGACTAACAGGTAATTAGTATTATACTTATTGTATTGATTTTTAGTTATATAATTGTGTTATTTTCTTGTGTTTTAAGTTTTGGTAACGGTCTATAATACAACACAGACTGGGAGAAACTCTTGATTATTATTATTGTGTTAATTTTGTAATTATAATTTAATATAATTTTTAACTGGCAGCCACTCGTGATTTTGTCTGCCTTAACTTTAGTTTTTTGAGTATCCCAAAGGAATCTTAAATTTTTCTTGGTATCTTGGTATCTGATGTCTCAGTCTAGGTCATAAACTATGTGTACCAAATTTCATCCTAATCAGTTTAGAAGTTTTTCTGTGATTTGAGTACCTAACAAACATTTAATAATATTAGTGGGATTGTGTGCTGTTTTCATGTGTTTCATTATGTGATAACAGTTTTTATTGCAAAATAAAACAGACTGACAGACACCCTTGGTTATTAGAATTGTAAGTGTTGATTTTAAATTATTTAACTGTGTTATTTTCTTGTGTTATAAAAAGTAATAAAAGATTTTAATTACAAAACAGTAAAAATAAATATAACACCTTCTTATTAGAATTGTAAGTGTTGATTTTTAAATTATATAATAGTATTATTTTTTATGTGTTTAAAATTTTTGTTACGAAATAAAACAATATGTAAGAAATTAATATTTTTCATTTTAATGATTAAAATAATCCCTAACTACAGAGTCTCTAATTCTGTTCGCCATTAACAAATAATCATCTGCATCACTAACCGCCTCCACAGCATCATGATCATTATCTTCAGAATCAATATTGTTGTCATCATCATCATCTGAATCTGAAATTGAATAAAATTAACACTATCTTGGAAGGTCTATTATACGATGTAAAATTTGTTTTTCTAGTGAATTACTACCTGATAGAATCTCTGTGAAGTTGTTGTACAATGTACAACATGCAACAATAATTTTACTGGCTGTTGGTGGCTCATAGTGGAGGCAGCGGTGTCGATGAAGACATCTGAATTTGTTTTTTAAACGTCCATGGCACATTTCTACTACATTTCTTGCTTTGGAGTGGCATCTATTATAATTTTCCTGGCCAGTATTCTGAGGGTTAAAATATGGAGTCAAGAGCCAAGGCTGCAAAGGATACCCTTTATCACCTTAAATAAAAAGAAGAAATGTTTAAAACACAACAAATAAATTATATATACAACTAAAGTAGTAAAATAAAAGAATAAACTGTTCTGCACCTAAGAGCCACTGTTTTGTTGCTCCGTTTATATGTTCACTTTCTAGGGAATTTTTAAGTTGACTCATGCTCCATATTGCAGCATCATGAGTTGAGCCTGGGAAATTTGGGTTAACAGATATTATTTTCCCATGTGCATTGACAACCTGAAAATTCCAATTATATTTAATGATTTTACATGAATTATGACAAACATCAATATTATAGGTACCAATCAACTAATCCTTGACCACAATCATGCTTAGTGGCAAAAAACAATGAAGTACAATGAAGCAAGTATACTAAGACTTAATTATACAAAGACAAGTGATTGTAAAAGGCTATAAACTTTTAATAAGTTTTTTTCTTACTTACCATTTGAACGTTGATACTGTAGAATTGTTTCCTGTTGTAAAATAGGGAGCCAGGCGCAGTAGGGTGATTTATAGGTGGCTTGAATATGGCTATGTGTGTACCATCTATTGCTCCAAGTACACCAGGCATCCCATACAATTCTAAAAAACTATTTTCAGACATTGTTTTTAACAAATTAAGTGTTTTTAACCTTTAAGGAGTAGGTCCTTAAAAGGACACTTCATAATATTTGTTTACTGTAACTTACTCTCTTTTAGATTTTCGCTTTTCTTCTTGCGAAAACGGAAATTTGATGGATGTGTGAGCCAGCTCCCTTGCAATAGCATGAGATGTCATATTTATGCATCTACTAGCTGAAGGTTGGCTCAAACCTAGTAAGCTGTCTTCACCAACAGCTGCTTGATAGCTGCCATGACTATAAAAGTTCAAAGCTGCTAGAACCTGTAAAAATAATGATGTGTGATATCATGTAGGTATAAAATATTAACTTCAGCATTCTGTTTAGTTACGCACCTTAATATGCTTAGGAATTGTGCCTTCAGCAAGACGGCTATCACTCAGCGTGTCTATCAAGTGTGAGGCTGCAGTTCTAGGAATTCGGAACAATTTTCTAAACTTTTGCTCCGTCAAATCAAACGGATTTGATGAATCCCGTATATTTATTAGTCGGATTCTTTCTTGGTTATTCCTAAAATTAATTAAAATAACTTACTTATGGAGAAAAATAAGTAAATAAAAGGACGACACAGAAACTGCCGAACCTAAACAAAATTATTGTTAGGTACTTAAAAATACTTCTGTTTTACCTTTCTGCTGCATCTCCAACAACAGCCACCACATAATCTCCAAACATTTTCAAGTAATAATAAAAATATCGCCTTCCGAATTTTAGGATAATTTTATCCGACTCGTTTAAGATCTCGTATAAACTTAACTAAATTTACGTCTCAAATGTCACTTTTGAGTTGTCCAGAATAGCATTCAATAGCCTAAGTCTAAATTTGTCTTAAATTGAATAGTTTAGAAGTGTCATTTAAAATTAGGATTAAAACTGTGTCCGCAGAATAGCAAACCGAGTTTTGACATTTCTAAGTCTAAATTTAATTTTATTTTAAGTTTTTGTGTCTGCGAGAATCGACACCATTGTAATACTAAATGCACTGTACTTACACAGATGCCTTGTCGTTTCTCTGCTCCGCAGAGCAGAAATCGGGGTTTAGTGCAACAAATTCACCAACCATCAATGCGTCAATTCTTGGCAGATTTGTGCTTTCTGCTTTCACAAAGCCGGCATCCATAATTAGTTTTGTCAAAAAGTTTACTGTTTTTTTCTTTCCTAAAGTTAAAAGTGTTTTAAGATAAATTTAGTCAGACGAAAGAATCCACCTACAGTAACACGCGAATGACATTTAGTTGTTTACCACAAGAGACGTCAAAATCATGGCGGATGTGGCGAACAGCGTTTTTAGTGTTTAAAAAATATAGACTAAAAAATATTTTTTAAAATTAAATTTCTACAGCTATCTTCTGCTTTTATGAAATGAAATCGATATATTTATTTAATACAATTCGACATGAGTAAACTAGCCTATTGTGTAGAAATAAACATTTAATAGCAGATAATGGACTCTTTGGGATGCGCTCCGCTCCCGGTGGTATAACGGGCTTAAGATTTGCAACTACTTTACATTTTGTTGAATATGGAAGTGGCATTTGGGATTAACATTTGTGGAGTAGATAGAAGGGGAGCCCAAGCGAAGATTTTGGGATTTACTTGAGCGCGGCAGAATAACATAAACCTTGCACCTTGTGAAGTACTCCTGGCATACCGGAGCCGAACTGATAATTTGACTTTTGGTGGCGTCCAAATCGTCAACTACTGAGGGTTTCACGTAAACTCTCAATGTAACTTGCTCGAATATTTTTTTAAACTATTTTCTACCCCTCCGTACGGCCACGACCAAACCCTTAGTAGGACAAATAAGTACGACCCCGAGGAAAAGGATACTATTTTTCCGTTATCACAAACCTTACGTGAACCTTGCAATAGCTCCTAATCAAAACTGGTTCTGACGATTGTGACGCGACCAAAAGTCACGACCGATTGTTGAAGGGCAATGGTGGGGTAAATTCACAGGGTGCAAGGTAACCCCCTTTACTTCATACCGATGAGCTCGAGTAAATCCCAAAATCCTTGTAGGGCTCTTCTACTATAATTAATAATGAGTGAAAAACTGTTTTAACAAAACAATTATATTTTGCACTTACTTATTAATAAAAAATTACAGAAAAATATAATATAAAAATAGTTTTCTTTACAATTTTATATTTCCTTCACCAAAACTAAATATTTACTTGGTTAATGATATAATAATTATATATATTTTTATATAAAAAATATACTACAAATGCGCTTGTGATCCACCGGCCACAACAACAGTTTCACCAGTCATATAGCTCGCATCTTCAGACACCAAAAATGCTACTGCACTTGCTATCTCTTCCGGTTTTCCAAATCTTTTCATAGGTATTGATTCTAAAGAACGTTCTTGAACAGATTCCGAGCTAGTCAGCTGTAAAACAATATTAGTTAAGAATAACAACATACGCGTTCCTAAGCCTTATTCGCTTCATACGCGGGTAATTTAGAACTAGGTATATTGTCCCTGTACAACTCTGTCTGAAGTTTTATTTTGGTAATGCCATAGACACTGATTTTTCTCGGAATAAAAAATATTTAGGTAATGATATCATTACGAAGTCGTATTATTAGGAAATCCATCCATACCGATATTTTATAAATGCGAAAGTGTGTCTGTCTAATAGCTACCGCTTCAGACTTAAACCACTGAACTGATTTAGATGAAAAGAGATTGCTCAAATTGGCCCAAATGCACAAAAATATTGATATATACGGTAATTTTTGGCATAATTTATACTTTATTTTAAAGTCATTAGATTTTAACGGACACCTTTGTATAATATATTCATTTTAAAAATGACTTTAAATTTTACCGGTTTGGAAAACATACGAATCATTTTTAATGGCTATGGGTGTAGTAACATTCAGCCAAATACTGATCGAAGTTGTTTCTATAACATAAAAACAAATCTATTTTGTAAAGATCGATATTTTTTTTTTATTACACTGTGGTATTAATATCCTCAACTATAATTATTATCATTTTCACTACATGCAAATGTGCTAAGACAATAGGCTAGTTGACTCATGTCGAATTGTATTCAATAAATGTTTATTTCTTAAAGTATTTGGTCTAAGGAACCTAAATATATCGATTTCACTTCATAAAATCAGAAGATTGCTGTAGAAATTTAATTTAAAAAAATAATTTTTAGTCTATACTTTTTAAACACTAAAAACGATGTTCGCCACATCCGCCATGATTGTGATTGTGACGTCTCTTTTAGTAAACAACTAAATGTCATTCATACATAACTTTAAAACTTGTATTATTAAAACTGATAATAAATGAAGAGACTTAAAATATTATTCAATGAGTACTTACATCAAAGTGATCTTCGCAAAAATAAATTTTACTATGAGTCGATAAAGTTGCAGGATCACTTTTAGCAAGTTCTAACCAGGTATTGCGTAGGTTAATTTCTTTCGGCACTTTAATCCACAACTTTCCTAGGGTCTTCAAGAATTTGTTTTTACATTCTCGTACAATAAAATAATGATAATTACTATATTTTTCGTGGTATCTACAAGAAATCTTTTTTTTTTTATTATAAACTCAGACAGGTTATTTTCTACGTGCTTACGAGTTTTTGTTTACTACCGTCAACGTCATAGCATAGATAATCTATAGACTAAAATGGCCGACAGGGTTTTTGTATGTCCATGAAAAGTCTATTTTAAAATTAAAGATTTATAGCTGTCTAGGTCTCAAAATAATACAATACATTTTTTTTCGGTCTAATAGAACATTTATTAACCATTTAAAACCTTTTTCCAAAAAGGGTCAACTAGCCTATTATTAAAGATGGTAGGCGACATGATAAAGTCTATTGCCATACATTTTTCGCGAAACACCTCCATAAACACATTATAAGGTGCGATACACTAAAAATCTAAAATATAGTACTGAAGATATGGCTGTATTACCTAAATATCTTAGCTTTCTTTGTTTAACGAGAGTTTAAAAATTCTCTCTAATCTGTGGCTCATTCACAACAGTTTCTGACATGGAGTTCCTTATTATAACCGGAAATGCATAGATGATACCTGATTTTAAAAAGTTATGCATTAACTTTAAAAACAGGCAACTATCTGTTAATCTACATGCTCTATATACCAGAATCTAATACCTAATTTGGGTACTTGGCTTGATTTCCCTAGTTTACTATATAACTTATTTGTTTTTTATTATTCCTATGTTCCTATTTGCAAACATAACCTCAAAATCATTCAGTGTTTATGGTTTATAGAAGTTCTCAGGGGTGTCCGTCAATAATATTCGTTTCTACAGTAATTTATATTTAATTTCGAATCTAGGAAACAATTTTTCATGTTTATTGGTCTTTAGGCCAAACATGTATGGAAGCTGAGCAATCTCCTTTGGTATGAAGATATTTTGGATCCCACGACAGGGCATAAGCTCAGACCAAGAAAAAAGTAAAGACAGAACAATGTGCGTTCTTAAGTATCGCAAGTAATAGGAGGCCGATTCGGCGATAGGAAGCCGGCCGTTTGCCAGTCCGCTGCGAGCAAAAGAGAGTGCTAAGTGTCAAGAGAAAAAAATCTAAAAATGCCTGCATGTGTGATTTAATGGTACAAAAAGAATTCATGTTCTTAAAAAACGCGTTGTGGGATTACTTTTTATAGGTAAATTATTGAATGTATTATAATAAGCGGAATAACAAAATAAATTTTATTAATGTTTTGCAACACAAAACCTCGGTGTCACAGAGTCAGTGTGGCAAGCTAGCAAACGTTTTATTCTCCCCTAAAATCTGTGGTATCCGTATGAGGTTGAATAGTATCACCAAACAAATTTAATAAGGGGTATTATTGAAAAATACGCAAATATAAGATTTCATGCCATTGCGAAATAAGAAACTATTCTTCGAAGCTGTGACGCGAAACGTCAATACTATAAAAAATTGACACAGCATAAGGGACATTAATTAACATTATTTATTGTCATTTCCAAATAAAGTAATATTTATTTAACATAGACCTTTTTTCATAGACGAGCATACATCCTTTTTTCAATGGTCGTTTATAATTAGTCATTAATAATAAATAAGACTTAAGACTACATAGTATAATATACTCTAGATTGCCTACTTTATCTTTATTTTCATGAAACTGTACACTGTTTCAATACAACTATTTTATTCATTTGTACTTTATTTATAATAGATTATTTAAAAAAAACACTCTTTTCTAATTGTTTACTATGCAACCTCCAACAATATTACACACTCTTATATATTTCTTAATTCGGGGTAATCAATGTATATTCTTGCAATATTTTTCTCAAGTACCTACGCTTACATTACGTGACGCCGCTAACGCTACGTATGTGTGTGTAAAGATGCACACGTGGTCAACACTTGGCCTCACTTTATTTGACGTGATTGATTAGGACAGCTCCGTCTTTACTTTTTTCTTGGTCTGAGGGCATAAGATACTTTTTACCCCGGTAATCATCCTTAAAGGCGGGTGGACGTTTGTATAGAAAAACAACTCGCTAGTTAATACCTATATGAAAAATATGATGTTCTGATACATTGACTAAATAAAAATACTTACAAATGATGCGAACTTTGTGGCAATTATTCCAGGAGCAACTCCATTCACTCGAATATTGTCATGGACAAGTTCTGCGGCGAGAGCCTTGGTCAGTCCCAACAACGCTGTCTTACTAACTCCGTAAGGTCCCAACGGCTGGAATATATTATTATATATTGACTACCTATATGCCTATACTATTGAAGTAGTAAAGAATAATTTAGTAAGTTAAACAATAAAACCAAAATAAGTATGAAGTTTAAAATTGGTCAAGTGCGAGTCGCGCACGTAGAGTTCCGATTCTGACTTAAGAGCCCTTTCACATTTTTTGCAATAAATCGCAATTTTTGAGAGCCTCGTTTATCCCCTTAGAAGAGATTTTGACTATTTCCAATAGAAGTAAACAGTAGATTTATTCTTCCTATTGAAAATTAATGTAGAATATTGCAAATGCTATTTTCCTTTTTATTGTACTGATCGTTCGATCGATATGCACAACTTCAAACGGCTCAATCTCTCAATAATGTTCAATAAATTAGATCAAATTAATTACTACGACATCAGAAATATGTTTTTGTTGAAACATAATGTATTAGAATCTTGATTTTCCATCTCATTAATTATTAAAAAAACATCTAACTTCCGTGAGTTTTCCCAAAAAATAACGCATAGACCAGGGTCGATAATTTAAAAAATGGTGAAAAGTGAAAATAATTATAGTAGGATGAAACCCATTAGAAAAGGTAGAGAATATAACAAAAATGAAAGGAAAAATAAATTACGGGCGATCTGAGGTCGGGAAGGGGGAGGGGGTGAGTTTTAAGGGTAAAAAATGATTAATCTCGATTTCCGGTAAAACTGCAAGTCCTATGAAAAAAAGTTAAATGGCAAAGTTGTAGGTAATAAAAAGATCTACAACTTTTGTATCGACACTTTTTTCACATAACCTTAAAATTTATGTGAAAAATGCGAATAACCGAGTTTTTGGTTTTTGATTTTTATTTTTTGCAAAAAAAAAATATTTTTTCACGAAATTTGGCGAAAACTTACCTTTGTATGTCCCAAACATACAGTAATTTTGTTGATTTAAAATATTCATTTTTTCACCTTATTTTGACTTAATATCCAAAAAGCACCCTAATTTTCAATCGAAAATTCTCACGTCAAAATATCTGCTTTTTTAAAAAAGTTGGGGTGTTTTTTGTTTGTTGAAATCTCTATTTTCTGATGGTATAAAAAAATATACACTACTATGATAAATGTTCTCAGAAAATGCAAATTAATAATGAAAAAAACTCGTATCCGAAAATCCTATTTTTAATACCTACTTACAACAACTATTTTTGCATGTTTTATGGATTTGTAATTTTTCTGTTTATCAATATAACATGAAATCTTACGTTTTTCGAGTAATTAAAGTGTAAATTTTAATAAATAGTTCAAAATTATACATAATGATTCAAATCAATTTTTCGGATTGGAGTTTTTTTCATTATTAATTTGCAGTTTCTGAGAACATTTACCATAGTAGTGTATTTTTTTTTATACCATCAGAAAGTAGAGATTTCAACAAAAAAAACACTCCAACTTTTTTAAAAAAGCAGATATTTTGACGTGAGAATTTACGATTGAAAATAAGGGTGCTTTTTCGATATTAAGTCCAAATAAGGCGAAAAAATGAATATTTTAAATCAAAAAAATTACTGTATGTTTGGGACATACAAAGGTAAGTTTTCACCAAATTTCGTGAAAAAATATTTTTTTTTTAAATAAAACTAGTTTTTACGGGTAATGCACGAAACTTTATTTATTTATTGACGTTTCGCAGCCTTTTCAGGTCTGCATCGTCAGAATAATGATTTTTTATTTAAAATTGTGGAGCTACCTTCGAAAGACTTATATTGAGCGTTCGGTTATTTCATTGGAAGATTTTTAAAATTTTATTGTCTATGTATGAATTTATTATTTTATTTACTTAATAAAGTATTTTATTTAAAATTCTTGTTTGTAATTTTGAGTTTATTTATTTATTTGACCCTAACTACCGTAAACTACCACCGGTTCCAAAATTGGGAGACCTTCCTGAGAAGAACCGGCGAAACAAACTCAAGAGAGGCTTTCTATCTCCTTCTTATGTTAAATTATGCAAACAAAAAGAACTAATAGTATCTGATGGTCTTGCAGTGTGTGTATAATTTTTTTTGCAAAAAATTAAAAATCAAAAACCAAAAACGGTTATTCGCATTTTTCACATAAATTTTGAGGTTATGTGAAAAAAGTGTCGATACAAAAGTTGTAGATCTTTTTATTACCTACAACTTTGCCATTTAACTTTTTTTCATAGGACTTGCAGTTTTACCGGAAATCGAGATTAACCATTTTTTACCCTTAAAACTCACCCCCTCCCCCTTCCCGACCTCAGATCGCCCGTAATGTATTTTTCCTATCATTTTTGTTATATTCTCTACCTTTTCTAATGGGTTTCATCCTACTATAATTTTTTTTGATCTCAAAAATTATCGACCCTGGTCTAGCAGGTTTACCTCGTATTTTGATATTGAATTAAATAGATTTACTATCAAAAACTTTCATAAAATTAATCTATAATCAATGAACTACTGAAATATGTATATTTTTTTATAATTAATTCATTAATAATTATTTTATAAGACTTGAAACATCACCCGTAAAATGCAATTTATACTAGTGCATATCTACGCGCCGTTCAGTACGGCGCCAGCGCCTTTGGAGGTCGGACCCGTGTCACTTTGTACCGCACGGTCCCGAGCGACGCTACGAGTGCATTCATCGTAAAACTGGCTGAATATACTACGACCGCAAAAGTTTGATCGTTGACTGTATGTTAGTTTCCACAACCGTATTAATTTTTATTATTATAAGTACCTACCTAGTTATTAATTATCGTTGCTTCAACTAATATTTTTGTTGTTAGCTTTTACAATGGGGCGTAAAACTCCTGCTTACCTTTGTGTGAAAAATGAATGAAACAATGATGCAGCCATAAGGAAAACTTGTGAAGCAAAGTAAATGAATATGCTTATAACATATGGCTTTTTATTTTTGTGGTTTCTATGGGTTTTGACTGTATGAAAATGGTAATTTGTCCGGAATTTTAAAGTATCTTACCTATTTTAGGTATAAAATTGTAGACCGTCAAGGTACTATTTTCCTGAATAAGTAGGTACTAAAAAGTGGCCAACAATTTTACGGGCTTGGGGTAGTGGGACTCCCCCTTTCAGCCAAAACCCATCCCCAGCAAAGCAAACGCATACTTTCAGGGATATTGAAGATCCAAATTTGGAGTTAGGAATCGACAAAAAATTAAACTAAGTACCTACCGTTTATCCAATGAAGGAACTTCTAGAAAAAGAAAACGAGTTTAACCACTTCGCTCGCTCGGCTTACTCTGTATAGCCTAAGCAATAGAGGAAAGCCAAATAACAAAATTTTACCACAGTCTAGCTTTTTTACAGATTTAAGGGTAGGTCGTAAGAAGCTTAAGTTTAAAAATCGGGGGAATGTAGGGTGGCCACAACTGGCCGCCATATTGGGAAACATTTTTATAGCTATATCTTCGAAATTATTGACTTTACGGAAAAAAATGTACTACGCTTTTTTGTTTATTACTAAATTTCCTAACTTTTATGTCTTATATATTTTTTTGTACCTCTTACAGTTTTTCAATTATTGTTGTTTATTTAAACATGTAGTTTCGCTTTTTCCTTTATAAAACCTTTAAAATGCCATTAATTAATAAAAAAACATCTTATAAAAGTCAAATTTCGTCATTAAATTTCCTACAACATTTGTTTAAATCTTTTTTTTATTAAATAAATACTTTTAAAGTTGTGCGTCGCAATGACGCAGTATATCAGACTTTTGTACACGTGCAATTGATTTTCATCACTAATATCATATACATGTAATATTTAATAGTGTTTATATATTAGTTTCAAATTTTTTAATAACTTTTTTTGGAATTAATCAATAACAATCCAACACAAATCATTATCAGCTTCAATTTGTAAGAAAGTAAGTGAGTTTTTCGGATACTTATGTAACTTAAATTCCCGTTTTTGCGCCACATTAACGACTCATCACTTAAAAAGTATTTATTTAATAAAAAAAAGTTGTAGGGAATTTAATCAAGAATAACTTTTATAAGACTTTTTTTTATCTATTTATGACATTTTTAAGGTTTTATAAAGGTAAACTACAAACATGTTCTAATAAACAACATTAATTAAAAAATGATGTTACAATAAAAAGTTTTATACAAAGAAGTTAGAAAATTTAGCAATAAACAAAAAAGTACTCTCCAATTTTTTTCCGTAAAGTCAATAATTTAAGAGATATAAACTCGTTTTCCAATAAAGCGGCCAGTTGTGACCACCCTTCATTCCCCGATTTAAACTTAAGCTTCTTACAATCTATCCTAATATCTGTAAAAAAGCTAGAGTACGGTAAAATTTTCATTACAAACAAGTATAAGTTCACGGGCCGCTAAAGTAAATATTAGCCCAACATAATAATATATTTAGAATAGAAATTCACAGCTCAATTTATTTTAGATGGAATAAAAATTCTAACGCCAACCCCGCAGAGAAAATTGTCGCGGTCGAAAATAGTGAAACTACTATACCGACCATAAGTTCAATGGATTCGATTGTAACGGGAACTTGTAAGTTTTTTATATTGTTCATGGAAGTTGACAATGAAAAGAGAAATTGAAATTAAACTAATATATTTAATTATATAGGGGAACAATGCTGCTGATATTTCCATACGCGAACTCGCAGCAAAAATTTCATGAGTTAGGTGTGTAAGCGATGAGTACCTATGAAAGTTAAATACTATTGATGGGTTTTGTATAAATGCATGGGAATTACACAAATACAAAAAACATGTTTTTAATTTTTTATCAAAAACTCTTACAGAAATATTCCAAGTACAGAGTGAGAAAACTTTTTATTAAATGAACTACGAAGGCAAACATAAAACAACAATTAGTACAGTTTTGACTGAGATATTTTATTATTACCAAACATCATTCATCATTAAAAAAGTTAATACTAAAAAGCACAAGTAAATAAAATATTATTTCTCATTACCGCTCGAAAAAGGGATTTCATTCA